ACAAATTTTTTTGCATTAATGTTAAGGTTACAATGGCTAAAAGTTTAAGAATAATATGTTCATCATTGGTCGAAAATACGTATTTCTATCAAATTCTAAAAAAAAAAATAGACATTACTAATCGTACATTTCAAATAGATACTATATACAAACTCTAAAAATTTTAGACATAATCGAGTTGGTAGGAGTTGAAAAACATAGAGAACCTCAATAGATGAAATTCGGAAGAACAAAAAACTCGAACATGTTGATGATTGTCACGAATATTACCAAATTATGATTCAATTCAATTTGTAAAAGTACCCTTAAAAATCAGTCAAAAAAAAGAAAAAGATGGTGAAAAGCCATTTTGCTTTTTGACGATTGCATTAGAAGAGTGATTGGCTTGGCTCCTATTATTTTCAGATAGGTAATGATGGGTAGGGTTGAACCTTGAGGATTACAACGAGTACTATGAGGTTAACAGATGCTCACCCGACATTCTAATTGTGGTTGAAAAATTGCTTTCATTTTTGTTTATCAGATGCTAAACCCAACTATATGCTATATAGATATGGTAGTTTGAAACCTACGATAAAACCAACGGTGGGTACGTAAGTAACCACTCTCTCTCTCTCTCTGGTTCATCTAGACTATGGTCATGAGTTTTCAAGAAGTTTGGTTGATGGTTCCTCCAAATATTTGTGACAGCTGCTCCTCAATGCAGAAAGGTGGATCGATCAAAGTCAAAATCTCAGTAACCTGGTTAGACTAAAAGTTTTAACTATAACCCTACGAAGTAATTTAAGTGGTAACAAAAACGAAATATAAATTTAGACATTTTAAATTCAAATTTTGACAATTTCTTAACGTCTACCTAAAAAGGATTTATCCCTTATAAGTACTTTAATCCCAATATGAATTATCAACTTTTGATTAGATCAAGAAATAAATTAGTCAAAATATATGTAATTTGACCTGAACACTTCCCGATCGTTAAACACAAAAAAANTAATTTCTTAACGTCTACCTATAAAGGATTTATCCTTTATAAGTACTTTAATCCCAATATGAATTATCAACTTTTGATTAGATCAAGAAATAAATTAGTCAAAATATATGTAATTTGACCTGAACACTTCCCGATCGTTAAACACAAAAAAAAAAATAAAAGTTTTTACTATTGCGCGCGTATGCATTGATTGCAGGTGGAAGAAGTGTAAAATTAGGGGCAAGGGCGGAGCTAGGATTTCATTATAAGGGGGTTAAATAATTGTATTACTCTTAATTTTTATTCAATGTGTGTTATTATTTATTTATTGTTATCATCAAATTTTTAAATATATCCATTTTCAAATTTTTAGATATATAGAATTTATTAAAATTAATTTCAAACCATACATTGTAAATTTGTAATGTATCCATTTTTAAACAAAAATATCGATAAAACCTATACGAATTATATTTTTTACTGTTAAATAGCGATACTGATTTTAATTTACATATAGACTATTGATTCGATTACGTTGCATTGTCCAAAATAATTCAAAATTCATCAATTTGTGCAGAACCAAAATTTAACGATTTGTCCAAAATATCAAATAGTTAATGGTAAAATGTGATCAAATCAAATAATTGATGGTAAAATAAAATCAAGACCATAATGTGATATAAATATAATTTCCAAAACTTGGGAGGCATGAAAAAGAATCAAAAACATAATTTAGAGGTATAATTTGAAATTTAAGAACTTGAGGGCGTCATAACTTGGCTCCACCCCTGAGTTGGGGTTTCAATGCTCGCC